CTCCCATAAAGATTTACAGCCTCGGAAACCCTGTTCAGGGTCTCTATGAGTCAGAACCGACTCCATGGTACTAACCAACCAATCATACAACCATATGTATATGCGCTGGCCTGCAAAGTCACTTTGAACCATAAGGTTGGTGGTTCAAGCCCACCAGTGGCTCCTTGGAAACCCTATACAGAGTCATTATGGGTTGAGACTGGCTTGACAACACTTAATAGCAACAAGTCAAAAAGTATTGCAACAAAATCATAGAAACTTTAATCAAACAGAAACATCAAAATGTGAAGCTATTGTTTCTCAGCATCTCCTCCTTCTAGGTCTATACACTTCTGACAGTAGTTTCATCTCTCTAGTGTTGTACTGTAGGATGAGCATTAGACAACTAACTTTAAGGTCAATCATTTGAACCTACCAGCTGCTCCCTAAGAACCCTGTAAAGCGTTGCTACAAGTCAGAACCTCCTCAATGATACTTAAAACAACAACCCTTCTCTGGAACCCTGGTGTGGCTTCAGGAAAGCACTGGATTGCTAACTGCAAGGCTGGCAGTTCAAACCCACCAGTTACTCCTTGGAAACCCTATACAGGATCACTAGAAGTTGGAAGTGACTGAACAGCACTAAATTTTAATTATTATTTTATTTTAACCCTTCCCTGAAGAATTCTGAGCTCTTTGATTTATAGATTTTAAAAGGCAGTTTTGGCATCTTTGAGGGACTCAAATCATGTTCTGTTAACTGTCCTTTGAGTTTTAAGAACAAAAAGAAGTCTGAAGCGACAAGATCAGGGCTGTAGGGTGGATGGAGTAAGGTTTCCCAATGAGATTTTCATAGGACAGCCCTTGTCCTTGAAGAATGATGAGTAGGTACAGTGTTGTGATGGGAAAAGATCCCTCAAGACAAATTTCCTGGCCTTTTATTCATTAATGCAGTCTTCTATTTTCTTCAAACCACTTCCCCGTGATCATTCTATGTCCTCGGAGAAAATCTGTCAAGATGACCCCTTTGGAATCTCCCATAACAGTTGTCATAACGTACTTCTCTGCCTTGAATTTAACTGGCCCAGCAGATCCCCCTTAGAAACCACCATTTTGATTGGATATCTTTTTTGAAAGCACCCTAAAGAGACTAAAGGTCCTGGCATGGTGATGTAGGATAAGCACTGGGCAGCTAACTGTAAGATCAGTGGTTTAAACCCACCAGTTACTCCTCAGAAACCCTATACAGGGTCACTATGAATCAGAATGGACTTGATAGCACTTAACAACAAACAAAGTGCTTAAGACAAGTACATTACTGAGAGAACTTGTCTGCAGCTATCCACTAATGATATAGACATGTTTAAACACATTTTGTTTGAAATAAACCAAACCTAAAATGCACTGTTGTCAAGTCGATTCTGACTCATAGCATCCCTTTAAGACAGGCTAGAACTACTGTGTAGGGTTTCAAAGGCTGCAGATCTTTACAGAAGCAGACTGTCTCATCTTTCTTCCTTCAAGCTGCTGGTGGGTTCAAATTGCAGACCTTTTGGTTAGCAGCCCAATGCTTAAAATACACCTGTGCATATATGAACTGGAATCCTAGTAGCAATATTTTCTAACCTACTCTCATATATACATATATGTGACATACATATATGTTGTTGTTAGGTGCCATCGAGTTGGTACCAGTTCATAGCGACCTTATGCACAACAGAACGAAACACATCCCAGTCCTACGCCAACCTCACAATTGTTGCTATGTGAGCCCATTGCTGCTGCTACTTGCCAATCCATCTTGTCAGGGGTCTTCCTCTTTATTGCTGACCCTCCACTTACCAAGTATGATGTCCTTCTCCAGGGATTGGTCTCTCCTGATAACAAGTCCAAAGTATGAGAGATGAAGTCTGGCCATACTGGCTTCTAAGAGCATTCTGGCTGTATTTCTTCCAACACAGATTTGTTTGTTCTTTTGGCAGTCCATGGTACTTTTAATATTCTCTTTTAACACAAATAGCTCAAATGCATCAATTTGTCTACATTCATATATACACTTACATATGGCTCTGTAGGATAAGCACTGGACTGCAAACCACAAGGTTGCCAGTTTGAGCTCACCAGCTGCTCCACAGAAGAAAGATGAGGCTTTCTGCTCTTGCACAGATTTGCTGTTGTTGTTGTTAAGCACCACCTCATTGATTTCCACTCAGAGCTGTGTATAGGGGTTTCTGAGGATTGGCTGGTGGGTTTGAACTGCTGACCTTATGTTTAGCAGTTCTCTGCTTATCCTACATCACCACACCAGGACCTAAGAGACCCTGGACAGAGTCATTATGAGTTGGAATCCACTCAGCGGCACATAACAACAATAACACACAGACATGTACGAGCGGACTTCAAAAAGTTCTTGGAAAAATTCCCATTTTTTGATGAACTTTTTGAAACTTTCTCTCTCTCTCTCTCTCTCT